ATTCGTTATATATGAAATAACGAATATATAGTCGTTATATTCGTTATTTAAACTTGAAAAAAAGACTAAAATTAAACCTATTAGGAGTTTAATATCTTTATAATATATTATACCACGAATTAATTGTTTTTTTTTTCTAAAGAATCGTTATTTTGTACGAACAAACGATTATATAATCGTTATATTGAAACAAGAACAAGTCGCTATTTTAACTTATAATCTTTGCAAATTCTTTATTTGACATGAAAAAAGACTAAAATTAGACCGAGAACGAGTTTAATATCTTCATAATGTATTATACGATGAAAACACGATCGTTTAAGGTGGATTTGGACGAAAAACAATCATAACGAATGTACAGTCGTTATTTCATTGTTATAACGAATAAATATTCGTTATAGTTGTTTTCCAAAATGACAGAACCATTGTTCAGGTCGTCGCGGGCGCGACAGTTGTCGCGGGCGCGGCACACACATGACAGAACCTAAGCCAAGTTCGTCGCTGGCGCGACGCCGGTCGCGGCCGCGACACAGAGGCTGACAGACATGTTGCCAGGGCGTCGCGGGCGTGATGGTTGTCGCGCTCGCGACACTGACGATGACAAATCTGTTGCCAGCCCGTCGCGTCCGTGATGAACGTCGCGCCCGCGACATGTGGTTTTTTTTTTTTTTTTCGAAAACGAACATTCATTCGTTATTGCATACAAAATAACGATTATGCATTCATTATATTGAAATATGTATATATCACGGCCGTGACGTTTGCCGCGGACGCGACACTAGGACATGTCTAAAATGGACAGAGAAAGTTGTCCCAGTGTCGCGGTCGTGACGGGCGTCGCGACCGCGACAAGCAATTTTTTTTTTCTCAAAATAACGAATTGTTCATCGGTTCATCGACTTATTTTCGGGAGCTCGACATCGAACCCTTTCGTTATTTATTACATTAAAACTTCTCGTTAAAGTAATATTTTTAACGAAGTTGATTATAAAACATAACTACTACATTTGGAAGTACGTATAACACATGAAAAACCATTGCATTGAATAACACATGAAAAAATAATACAACAATGTATTATCCAAAAGATCCATACAACTCGTTACATAATAAATGTTTAAAACAAACTATGGATCAAAATGAGCACCAAATATCTCAGCAGCTAATTTTTCACGCCAAACACTAATCCTAGATTGATCTACGTCTTCAACATTCTTCCCAGCATACCAAAATTCTATAAACTTGATTGTAAACATCCCACAATCAACCCTGCACCATAAATATACAAATTCTATTAATTTACCAAGTTTCATAATACAGTTAAAAACCTAATATGATCAAAATATATAATACACGTACCCATTGCTTTGGCTAGGAGCTGTCAACCATTTGTACTCAAACTTTTCAACACTGTAGTTAGCATTCAGTTGCATCAGTAGCATCGGTGCAACAACTCGAATCGTATACATAAATTCATCTCAGGGATAGATCAATCTCCAGCGCGAGCCAGTGGCCATTGCCCTCTTTGCAGAAAGGAACATACAATTTCGTACAAGCAGTCCACAACTTTCCATTATTGGGTATCTCCCCTCTCGCGTATTTACTCAAGGCCCTCGGTAATTGTTTAGACTTCGACATGTTCTTGAAGAAGTTTCTCACGTACGGGACAAAAAACGTATCCAAGACAACACAATCTTGTCTAAACAAGTGAGAGAACTGTTTACCACGCTCTCGAATGTGAAAAAGCGCTTCATCTACATGCTACGAGTATAATAATGTTTATAGATTAGCGAATATCATGCTTTTCAAAGTTAAAATATTGAATAATTTTTTTGTAAATAGTTTTACCTCAGTAGAAAGCCATCCATCGTTCACAAGTTTATTAAAAAAATCTTTATCTGCTCGACCACCATAGGACAACTCAAAACTACATAAAAAATCAATACATTAAACAAAGACATACAACCTTATATATTACAATAAGTAGCCCACAATTAAATTAACACAATTACATACCTTTCAGGGGAGCTCGACAACCACGTTTGGAGATCTTCAAGTTTAGCTGGATCCACTGGTCTAAAAGGGTCTTACTCCGTCACAGTTGCAAATTTTTTTCTTTTTTCAATATTCCTCCACGGAGTACATAGAACGACGACCTTTCTTTTCTTCCGGTGCCCTCTCCCCTTAGGAGACTCAAGTGGATCTTCTACAACGATTTTTTCTATATCTATTGGTGTCGGCTCTATCTCCACTGGTGTCGGCAATTGTCTCTCTTTATAAATAACAATGGCTGATGACGAGCCGGTCACAAAACCTACAATAAGCAAAA